CCCATTCGATTATAGAGTATACTTTTTAATGAGATTCATAGTAGAAAATGCTCTTTCAACGGTTGCTGTTGCAATTGGCAAGACTAATGTCAATTTCACCAACACATAAACCAAAGGAAACCCAATATCTTTTTGCTTTTAAACCATCTTTTGAGCAAGATAGGTAACTCCTTTTAAATCATCAAAGTCAGCATTACTTCTCATATATGAAATATAATTATCAAGTTGATCATCAAGTGCCAAGAGATGTACATCATCATATTCCAACGGATAAAACTTACCAAGTTGAATCAATTTTAGTTTGTCAAAAGCTGAGAAGAAATGGCGTGTATCAAGACAATCTATGCATGAAAGCAACTCCGTATTAAAATTATCAAAGTGCTCATTCAGCTCTTGAAGCTGAAAATCAACCACATTGTAAAATAAATCAACCTTAAAGTGGTGAAGATTTATGAATTTTTTATCTCTACGTCAATGTATAAAGAAAGCATCCATGTTTGGACTATCAATCTCATACTTATCACAAAAATTATAAATTTCTACGAATAAATCATCTGAACCATCTTCTCTAAATTCTTGTGACCTCTTCTTCGCTACGTTGACTAAACTCATAACATTTGGAAGATCTTGATCTTTTCTTTGTAATGCTTGTGATAAATCATTTGTGATTCCCTACAATTTTTTGGTTAAGTGTAATAGGAATACAAATTCAAAATCATTCATTGCTTAAATGAGTTTGTTTATTTCACCCTTATTATCAAAAAATACCACCATATCTTTTATAGTCTAAAATCAAGTGTTGGAGAAAACAAAGAAATCACACTAAGAATTGTACCATAATGTGAACCTCAACATGTGTCTCAAGGTCATTTCAAAGTAGCTTTTTGATTCAATCCTCTTCCGGTCACCATATTACCTCGAAAAATTCCTTCAACTATTTTTTCAAATTTGTTTCTTCCAAAGTAGCTCCTTCCTTTTGCAAGAAGCCCTAACAAAATTTGTTAAGGCTGCCAAATAATCAAAGAATGAACTAAGCTTCTCATGCTTTCTTGAAATTAATAAAAGTGTCAATTGAAGCTGATGAGCAAAACAGTGAACATAGAAAGCGGATTGATTCTCGGCCAATATCAAACTCTTAAGACTGCTAATATTTCCGCTCATTTTACTAGCCCTATCATAACCTTGACCATGAATACATGACGTACTCAAACCATGTGAAGCAAAAAACGAGTCAACGGCCTAGGATCCGAGAAGTGGTTTCAAGAACATGCACAATGCCAAGAATACACTCAATGATGCACCCATGTCTGTTCACAAATCTCAAGCCAACAGCCATATGTTCTTTGACTGCGGAATCATGAGCCTCATCAACTAGCAAAGAGAAGAAATCATCTCCAATATCTACTATGATTGCTTTTGTAGTCAAAAAAGTAGCAGCATTGCAAATATCCTTTTGAATTGAAGGTGCATTCAATTTGTGATTCTTTGGAGCATTTTTCAAAGAAACTTTACTTGCTTCTTCATTATGTTTGCAAAGAAATTTTAAAAGTCCAACAAAATTGCCTCGATTATTTGAAAGCTTCAACTCATTGTGACCATGGAAAGGCAATGTGTGCATCAAAAAAACGAACTCGATAATCAAGTTTTGCTTGACTTGAAATCCCAACAACCATGATATCGATGTGTTGCGTTTGCTTCATCAAATCTTCACAAGCCTTCAAACATTTATTATGACTATTATTATGCACTCCTACATGTATATCCAACTTATTCTTGTTTCTCCAATTTCTAAATCCTTCGCCAACAAATGAATCATGCTCACCTCGATGATCACCGTATTCAATATTGAAAAGATAACAACACAAGCAAAAAGTAGCATCTTTACTTTCACAATATTCCAACCGAGTGCCATATTTCTTGTACCATAATGGATTAAACTTCCGTTTTCTTCTGGAAAAATCAGAAAGAGGAAAGTTTGTAAGTTTTGGTCGACAAGGGCCATTGATCAAATATGCTCTTCTTATATTTTCTCTCTCGTTAGCATTATGAAGAATACTAGAAATACAATGTCTTAGACCAGGATCAACCACAACTTGTTCTGAGACACTTTGATTAGGCTCTTCTCGAATAAAGGCACTTTAGTTAGTTTCTTTTATAGGAACACTACTAGACCCTTGGTTTTGGTTATGTTGAGATTTGGTTCTAGCACGTTTAGTTCTCGTAACAAACTTATCCATGCCTACTGTATTAAAAGAATGAAAATAATTATAAACAATTAAACAAAGATTACAACTAAAAATATGAAAAAATAATGAAAATTTAACTCTCAAAATCTAACATTTCTTATTGAAGAAAAAAAAGCCACATAGCAGATGCAAGCAAAAATCTCAAAAAAAGAAACAAAAAGTAATAACATTGGAAATGATAAAGTAGATTGTTAAATATCCAGAAATAAATTAAAGCAAAGAAATAATACAAAAAAATTAATTAAAATAAAGAAATGCTTACTAAATATCGGTGCTTTCTTGAGGATTGAGAAACCAGCATGCAGGTAAAGGGAGGAAGTGAGCCGTTAACGCCTTAGGGGAAAGTTTAATATTTTGTATTATACATAATATTTTATATAGTGATGTTTAAACTTGGGCGCGAGTATAAAAGTGTTTTCGGCCCAGAATTTGGCTTATCATATTGTACATAATGTTTTGTATAATTATATTTAAAATTAAATAAATTCACAAAATATTAATTTAAAATATATTTTAACAATGAATCTCTAAATTTAAAAAACAATTAAAAAAAAATCAAGAGGGTCCACTGCCCCCTTCCCCTATCTAAATCTCCTAAAAATATATAAAATATACAATACATACATATATATATATATATATATAATACTAACTAAAAAAAATTCGAAGGGCAGTGATCCGCCCCTGGTGTTTGGTCTAGGTATTGATTGGACCAAAGGCAAGACTCGCACAAATCAAGTTATAGCAATTCCCTCCTCAATACTTGAATCAATAGAATATATGAAAATGGAAGAATAAGATAAGGAAGAGAAAAATAGTAGAAAGAGAGTGAGGTCATACCTTTCGAGACCTACACCTTTTCTTGTATACCAAGTATATGTATCTATATATCTTGATCAACAGCACACATGGCACTTGCCTTGGGTGCCACGTGTCTTTTGCTTATGAAGGAGTCTAGTGGACTAGTGGGTTTTTAGTTTGATTGGTAAAATATGGTATACTAAGAATCTAGATATATTAAGATTTAGGTCGTATTTTGTAGATAAGCCATGGCTTTTTGATCTTTTCCTCTTACTATTCGTTTAAATTTTTTTCCTTTCTCTTCTTTTCCTTTCTCTATCTTTTGATGGTTTTATTTTTTTTCTTTTTTTTCACTGCTCTCTTCTCTTTTTTTTTTTTTTTCTTTTTGCTTTGTTTGTTTGTTTGTTTGTTTTAGTGCCTCTTTTTTCGTTCTGTTTACTATTTGGTTCTCTTTTCTTTTGCTTTCTCTATTTTTTTTTAATTTTCTTTTTGCTCTTTTTTCATTGTTCTTTTCTTTTTTTTCGATTTGTTTGCTTTATTTGTTTGTTTTGTCATTTTGTTTATCATGCTAATTTGGTCTTCTTCTTCTTCTTTTTTCATATCCCTGCTTCCAGAAATATTTTCTCTTCTTTTTCGAGTTTGATTTCTTTGTTTTCTATTTTGCAACTCTTTTTCTCTCGGTTTCTTTCTTCTGACAAGCAGAGCAATTGAGCAAAGATGTGAACAAGTATTTCAAGGAAGGTCATTTTGAGTTACCATTGATGCTGATACTTAGCTAAACAAAATCCGCATTTTGTTTTATTTTTCAATTAATGGTTTTATTAGTTTTGTTTTCTTTTATACATTTAGTTGTTTTTCTTTTCATTCTCTTCTTGTTTTGTCAAGGCAATTACTTTATGGCCTAATCTTCCTGTATTATAAACAAATTACGCTTTTTCCCATCGTAGGCGTAAGTATGTACGCTCACTAAGCCTTTTTTAAGTAATTCTTTTTATTTTTTTCTTGTTGGAGATCGATTCAGCTTGATCACAGTTCTGTGCCAAGGTAATCTCTTTCCTTTTTTTTTATTTTGTCTTACTGATTTTTTTTTATTACAGTAATGCGCACTTGCTGTTCACTAGATTGCTGGTAATATGATTGCTAGTAATGTGATTATAAGAAAAATAATATTATAATATTTGTTATACAAGCAAATTAAGATTAAAATATGGAAAAAATAACATCGCAGTACTTGGTTTATAGGTATTTTGTTAAGAATATAATATTAATTTTCAAAATGATCCATATTTATTAAAATGCATGTTTAATATACTTTTATTTTTTATTGTTAATATTTATATAATATCATCTCTTAAATATATTTTTAACGTTATATATTTTATTTTTATTTCATATTATAATCTTATATATATTTAATATAATTGCTTATATTATGTATTATATTTTAATTTTTTTACCTATATTATATAAATTTTAATTTCTTATATTTTATTTTATTTTTTAATTTTTATATTATATATTTTATTTTAATATTTTTTATTTTAATTATAACATTATAAAATATTTTAACAAAATAATAAAATTGAAAGATAAAAATATCTTAAATAACATTACAGTGTACAATATAATGGGATTGCGTTGATTTTGAACTACAATCACTTTACATTCTTTAGCTATAATGTGATTACATTGTAGTAATCTGTTACAAAACAAATAATTGAATTGGACACATTGTAGAGAATATGCTCCCACTTCCCTCATACCAAACACTTTTTAATGGCTTGAAAGAGTTTGGCTTTTCTTTGGATTTTAACTAAATGCTTTCTTTCTAGCTCATGGTTTATTTTTATTGGCTTTTCTTTCTTTGAAGCTTATGTTTTTTTCTTAGATATGGTTTGCGGATTTGTAGTGGAGTGGGAGGAAATTTAAAGGGCGATGGGAGAAGGGGAGAGCCTTTGGAGTTTTGCTGGCTCAGTTTCTTTGAGGTGTTAGTTCTAACACCATCATCTGAGGTTGAAATTTTTAATTTTTAGTTTAGGGATTGTTTGTAGAATTATGCATGGTAAAAATTATATGAATAAATAATGAATTTTTTGTGCTTAAAGATGAATAGATAATAATTTAATTAAATATTTCATTCATAATTAATTTTTGTTGACTGCCTCAACACTTTGGTCACCTGCTACAACAGTGAGGATGCTCTCCTACCTGCCTTCAGGGAGAAGTTAGAGCATTTTTAAAAGGGAGTCAAACAAAAAGAAATATTAAACAATTAAATAGAATTTTATATATAATTCAATTATTACTCATTTAAAAGAGTAAATAAAATTCACAAGATATTAGATATAAAAAAAATACACATTAATAGTAATGATGGTGTCATATATATATATATATATATATATATGACTAAATGGAACCATAAAAGGAATCTTTTTCATTCTTTGCACACAAGAGTGGAAAAGAAAATAATTTTTCAAATTCAAATGAATTATCTCTTTACTTTGCATGTTCTAACTCTCTTTTTATTTTTTATTTACCTCTTAAATTGCTAATTAACATATTGAATTTTTGAATTAAACTATTGAGATATAATATATTATTATAAGCTACTAGGTTAGAATGTTAAGATATAATAGATTATAATAAGCTTATATTTATATTAAAACTTAATAGATTTAGATTACTAGACTCACTTTTATAATTTTTAAATTTAATACACTTAACATATTAGTTTAGAATATATTTGCTGAGCTTAACTAGCAATACGCTAACATAATGATTCTAATTTTATCAAGTAGTTTGAGGAATAAAAATAATTATTAAATAAAAAAATATTTTGAGAGCCATTTAAAAATATGATAAATAAAATTGTATTAAAAGGAATACAATTATTTTATTTTACCAATTTATATGTATATCTTTGTTATTTAAATTGTGTAACATATATGCTAGAACACATTAGTTATTCTGAATAAAAAATGATATATTGATAAAATTCTAAGCAATAGTGTAAAACTACAATTTATATTTAAGACTTATATAATAATTTATTTATTTTTAAAAATTATAATAATAAAAAATAAAATCTACTTAACAGAAAAAAAAAACATGACAAGTGGAAGATAAAATTTACATATGACATCATAAAAATGAAAGAAAAAGAATATAATTGATGGTTCATAAAAATTTGTGAAAAAAAATTTATAAAGATATAGAATATATGAATAAATAGAATAGAAATAAATAAATAAAAATAAGAAGATAATAAATTGATAGAAAAAAATAAAAAAACATTAAAACTGATTCATGCATATGAAATTATTTTATTTTTTATTTTTTATTTGTGTTACTTATTAAATAAAAAATTATTTTGAGGGACCATTAAGAAAATTTATTAAAAAATTTATATAATATGTAAAAAAAAATTTTAAATTTGACCGCCCTATGGCCGCCTTCAACGAAGACCAACAGTAATTTCTCTTATCTCTCTTTTCCTCCGTACATATGTTGGGTATGTTTGCCTTTGTGTATTTGAAGCATCTGTCAATGTATATTTAATACTTGTGATCTTATTGCCAAGTTTGCTTTTTCTTTCCATTGTATGTTTAGTATTCTGTTTATTTATATTTTAAAAGTTCGAGTATGAGTGCCTTTTCTTTTACTTTTCATGATATATAACTATATTTAGCTCATAGTCTTTCTTCGTGTTGAGTTTTTGTTGTCTGTCTCGCCACTTGACTCTTTCATGTTTTGTGAATTCAATATTTTATAAAATTTAGAATTTAATATTCATGAGAAGGATTATGACTTTGCCCGATATGGGCCATGGATGGTAGCTAAGAGGTACACCAGACGCAACACAGGCAGTCGATCAGAGGGGAAAATTGAAGTGGAGACCAAGCAAAAATTAAAAACAGGCGACCAAGCGGGAAGTTCAAAGAATATGACTGGGCGGGGATCACGGTTTGCCTTATTAGAAAGTGAGGAACAGGACATTGAGGAGTATGTGCCAGAAACTCAAAATCTAGGGGTGCAAGGTCAAGCTGCTTGTTCTGCAAGAAAGGAGAAAGTAGTGGCTCAGGACAATAAGAAGTTTAAAACGTCTCTTCAGAAAACTGCCAAAATCTCCAACAGAGATGCTCGACAGAATAGGGCTATAGAGAGTAAGCTTGTTGACGAACCCATTAAAATTGTAACCTCTGAGTCAACTCAATTTAGGAAACAAACTGTTACAAGCAGACTACCTTCAAAAGATGTCAATAATGAAGGACAGCTAACAGAACTAAGGAAGGTTTATGTAGCTAACTCCACAGAACTCATTGAACAGGAAGCATTTCCTATTGACGATATGTCAAATGGGGGCCATCATAATATGATAGGAGTAGGTTTCAATGGAGATGCCAGGGAAAGAAGCTCTAACCAAGGAAATGGAACAAGACCTCTGCCTGGAGATCCCGGTTCTGAGACAGAGAACATGAAGATTGATGAGAATTTAGATGAAATGCGGACTTGAGCTCGCATCTATCTCTTTGCTCAAGTTAATCTAGTTTCCAATGTTTAATTTTTGCAGTTGGAATGTGAGAGGTGCAGCATCTCGAAGAGCGGTGAGAAATATAAAAAATTTGATCAAAATGCATAATATACAGCTGCTGATAATTTTAGAGCCACGTATTGTCGGAGTTAAAGCTAACAATATCTATCGTCAACTTGGTTTTTCTAAATACTTCCAAGTCGAAGCAGATGGGTTTGTAGGGGGTCTATGGATGTTGTGGAATGCAGAGCATGTCCCCAGTTAAAATTTTAGCCTATTCTTCGCAACTAATCCATGCTTTAGTTAATGAATCAACAAAACAATGGCTCCTAACAGCAGTTTATGGTAGCCCTGATGCAAAGGAACGGGAACGCTTGTGGCAGTCTATAAAAATGGCAAGTGAGTTGCATTCTCTACCATGGATGGTCATAGGGGATTTTAATCAAGTATTATCTTCAGAAGAAAAACAGGGAAGAAGGGGGGGGGATTAATGTACGTCAATGTGAGAAACTGATAGAATGCCTGAGTTATAGTGAACTTTTTGACTTGGGTGCTTCAGGCCCAAAGTTTACTTGGCGAAAGAGAGAAGATTTAACCACACCCAAGTCCGACTAGACAGAGCAGTAGTGAATGAAGCATGGTGTAAGTTATTTCCAGAATTAAGAGTGGTGAATTTGCCAGGGACCCATTCAGACCATCACCCGGTTTTAGTCCACCAACCTTCCTCATTCTTGAATAACCAAGCTAATAAGCAATTCAGATTTGAGAATGCATGGATGTCGCACCCAGATTTCGAAAAATTTGTAAAAGAGAAATGGAGCTATGCAAATAACAATATATATCTTTCTTTGAAGAACATGGCAGATTCTCTTATCCATTGGAAAAATGAAGTTTTTGGGGATTTGAACAGAAGGAAAAGAAGAGTGCTTGCAAGATTACGAGGAGTCCAACTTCAACTCGACCAACAGCCAAATGATTTCTTGTCAAATCTAGAGGTAATGTTGATTGAAGAACAGGAATTGGTCTTACATCAGAAGGCAAAGGCGGACTGGCTAAAGCTGGGTGATGCCAATTCCAAGTTTTATCTCGCAATAGTAAATGGTAGGCAGAGAAAGAAAAAAGTTGATGTTTTGAAAAGAGATGATGGTTCATGGTGTAGTGATCCTTTGGAATTACAACAGCTGGTGCTAAACTACTATAAAAACCTCTATACGGATGATTGGTCAAGTGCTCCTCTCCCAATTAAAACTAACTGGACATTGAAGGCAGACACTCAAGTAGAGTTAGACAAACCGTTAACTACAGAAGAAGTCAAGAATGCACTGTTTGGCATGAATCCTCATAACAGTCCAGGACATGATGGCTTTCCGGTGAGTTTCTTTCAAAAAAACTGGGCCAGTGTGGGTCCGGCACTGTGTAAGTTTGTTCAAGAAGCTTATGCAACGAGTCACATTCCACCAGAAGTGAATCATACACTTATCACTCTTATCCCGAAAGTAGAGTCACCAGAAAATATTGCTCAATTTAGACCCATAAGCTAGTGCACACTTCCTCTAAAAGTCATAAGTAAGGTGCTTGTAGCTCGACCTAGACCTCTATTAGATGGTTTGATTGGCAGAACTCAAAGAAGCTTCATCCCAGGAAGACAAACGACAGATAACATAATTGTAGTGCAAGAGGTTATTCACACCATGAGAAGAATGAAGAATAAAGCAGGAGCTATTGCCATAGAGATAGATTTAGAGAAGGCTTATGACAGACTTAAGTGGAATTTTATTCAAGAAGTCCTAGAAGAAATTGGCCTACCTCACTCTTGGGTAAGGTTAATTATGCACATGGTCACAACGCCAACATTCTCTGTTATTTGGAACTCTTCTCAGACTGATCCGTTCCAACCCACGAGAGGTATCAGGCAAGGAGACCCATTATCTCCTTACCTATTTGTTCTTTGCTTAGAAAAACTTTCTAATCTCATAAATGAAGCAGTACATACAGGCCATTGGAAACCTTTAAGGATGACAAGGATTGGACCTAGTGTTTCCCATTTATGTTTTGCAGATGATCTGATGCTGTTTGGGGAGGCTTCTTCCACTCAAGTAAGAATCATGATGGAGACTCTTGAAAAATTCTGTAAGGTTTCAGGTCAGAAAGTAAGTCTAGCAAAATCAAGAATGTTAGCTTCTTCGAATATCTCAAACACATAAGCCAAAATTTTAAGTCAAATGGCGAATATTCCTTTGACTAAAGATTTTGGGAAGTATTTGGGTGCCCCTATGATACATGGTCGGATCACTAAAAGCTTTTATTCTGGCTTAATAAATAAGGTAAAGAGAAGGTTAGATTGTTGGAGCAACAAGAATCTCTCAATGGCAGGTCTAGTAGCTCTGGTTAATTCTGTTACCAACACCATGTCTACTTATTTGATGCAAACGATTTTACTGCCTGATAATGTATTAAAGGAGATTGATAAGCTTAACAGAGATTTTATATGGGGTCACTTTGGGGGCATCAAAAAGATGCACGGACTCAGTTGGTCTAAACTTTGTCAAAGGAAAGAAGATGGGGGCCTGCATATCAAAGATTCAAAAAAATTTAATCTAGCTTTACTAGCCAAACTAGGCTGGAAATTATGGAGAGATACTGACAGTCTATGGGTGGATGTGCTTAAGAAGAAGTATTTAAGCCATCACACTTTTATAGCTGCTGCGATAAGACCGACTGATTCTCAAGTATGGAAAAGTATATTGAAGGTAAGGCCAGTCCTGTTAAATGGATTGGGGAGGAGAATAAGAAATGGACATGGCACTAAATTTTGGACAGAGTCTTGGCTACCTTGTGGGCCACTAATAGACCATGTAAGTGCAGATTTAACAGAGCTCGAAGTTGAGCTTCCAGTGGCGAGTTTCTGTGATGAATACGGGAGATGGAACTTGGAACCAGTCAAGCAATTGCTCCCTCAAAACTTAATTCTTATGATCTCTGCAGTGATGATAGACCCATCAGGTGAGGAAATGGATGATTCCTACTGGTTACACTCTAGCACAAGTATGTTCACAGTTAAATCTGCATATGAGATGCAAATATCTGGTCCTATTCACCAAACGATATGTTGGAAGAAAGTTTGGTCTTTAAACTCATCAAACAAGGTAAGGATGTTTTTCTGGAGGGTACCACACGATTCCTTACCAACTGCTTCTTGGTTAGAAAATCGGAGTTTATTATCTTCACCTGCATGTCTAAGTTGTGGGCACTCGGAGGAGCAGTTAATTCATGTGCTACGAGATTGCAACAGAGTTAAACGGACGTGGTTATCCTTTCTTCCCTATTCGGCGACAAAGGTCTTTTTTATGCAAGATCTACAAGGCTGGACATTAAATAATTTATAAATATATCTACAATGCTAGATTTTTTTTTAACTTATCTATCTCATAAAAACAAAAACCAAACCGAACAATTTCAGAACTCTAAAAGCTATTATTTTTCATGAAAACTTCGTAATAGCTTTTAAGTTAAAAAAAACCTAAACCAAACAAGCCCTAGGTTTTCTTTTGTAATCCGTACTACTAAACATGGTATTAGGCCATTGGGAAACCAAGACATTTTGCATTAGCTGATGTTAGATCTAAGTCAGCCATTGATTGATAGGTTTGAAATGGAAGTGTTCAACTAAAGAGGGAAATATATAGGCAACAAGATTTGGCTCGAGTAATAAGAATGCGTCTCTTTGACACAAACATGGTTTCTTTCCATGACATTTTTAAATGGCTTAGGAAGCCACCTTTTGTCATTTTTGGACCCCTTTCCATTGCATGTAGCCATTCATTTAATTTTGGGTTTCGAGAGCCAAAAACAAATGGTATGACGCTGAGGAGTCTTGAGTAGCAAGAAAGCGTCTACCAGAATAAATGGGCAGGGATGGGCAGAATAAATTGAAAATATCCTCTCTAGATTTAACTTGCTCGGATGTCTCCTACAGCCGAATTAACTGTTGCAACTAATAATATCCAAAAACTACTATCAACTATAACACCTAAAACTGCCGTCCACACATTACACACATGCTTCAATTTAAAAGGCTACACTGATATAGAGGTAAGAGGGGAAGATCAAGGCATCATCATTAAGTCCATAGCACTTCTTGAATATACCTGCAAAGATGATACCAAATCATTCGGCATTAAAAATTTGGTATGGCCATAGTTGTTTTGCTTCAAAGATATGCCCTTTACCATTTGCTTCCTGAAATGTTGAATGCTAAAATTACACAATTTAATTAAGAAAAGAACAAATGGCCAAACGTTAACGGAATTGTCTACAGCTTTATTGGTTTTCCTTAAAATTTATAATGTACTTAAAAAGACACAATCCACGAAAGTGCTGTAAGACCAAAAATTGATATACAACTCCAAGAAACTTACCCTCTTCAGAGCTCATCTTTTACTGACTCTTGATGGACAGCTTTGTCCCTGTTCTTTTCAATGAAGTCGATGATGTCTTCCTTGCTCCTATCACCCTCATACGGTGTTATGTTTCCATTAGCTGATCTAAAGTAAACAGTCGGGTAGCCTTTAACATCAAAGTTCTCATCCGCGATATCATTAGCAGTTGCATCCTACAAGGAAAAATTTACAAGTCTATGGATCAGAAAAATCTTCCCACTTGAAGATTAGATGATGTCCAAAACAATATACGGTCCGTACAACAAATAATATCGTGTACCTCAATATTAGTCCTAAGCTCTATGCCTAATTCCCCATTCTATTTAAGAAAATTCTCCTAATAATTTATCTAAGTCAGTGGACAACAGATTATCAGTAATGCCACTAACTAAACCTTACTGTGCTGCTAATGCTGCAGAAATTATGAAGATTTTAGTTCACGTACAAGTAGATCAGGAATTGTATTCCAAGTAACAAATAAGCAATGGAGTTTCCAGACTTCATCTGACAAAATCATAGATCTAAACTGAAACTGAAACCTTACAAGTTGGAAGATATTCAAAATAATTATATAAAGCCATATGGTCCCTATTAAAATCAGAGAGTAATATAACTTACAAGTTTTGCAATCAAAACTTTAGCATCTTTTTCATAATGGACAGCAATTTCGTCCAAGATTGGTGCCAATTTCTTGCAATGTCCACACCAGGGGGCATAAAACTCGAGCAGAACTGCAGAAAGAAAAGCTTGATATCATTTTATAATTTCCAAAAGATGGTTACAGAAATAGAATTATCAACGCTCATTATACATGAAGATTGAAGTCTAACACTTACAAAATATCTACCACATAGCTAACATAATGAAAAAGAATAAGCTATCAACTTCTTACAATTCAGAAAATTTAGGTGCACATAAATTATTCATATCTTTCACAATGAAAAGAAGTTAGCGACCAATTTGTCATGTTTTGAACCAAATATAAAATTAAAAAGAAAAAAAAAACTATTCGTAAAGCATGACACCCCATCAAAATATGCTTCACTACAGTTGATTACAAGGATTTGCTGATTCTATGGGTATCAACAAATTTTCAACAGATAGGTACGCTGATTATTGGAGTGTGAACAAGCTATACACCAGGATCAGCTCAAGTCCAAATTCAAAGTTCCACACTGCTGGATAAAAACAATGCATGTTGATTCTGCGCATCCATTGAAATTTCAATTGCCATATCCTCTAGATCATAACAACTTCTAACGCCAAGTGCAACAAAAAGCAAAAGAATGCAGAGAATAAACCATAACTACCAATTCGGTAAAAGGGGAAAAAAGCATCAAGCAAACTACCAATTACACACCATTTTTTCCTGATTTGAAAACCATGTCTTCGAGGGTGTCAGCAACCACCACTTTCACAGGTTCGTTATTCTCCTCGGGGATAGGTTCGGATTTTACATATGGTTGAACTTTTCCTTCCTGCAGAAGAGTACTTTAGTCAAACAAAAAACAGATAACCATTGATATCGCATAACTCACTGCTAGATATCCTGTCACTAAAATCACGACCATACGAGTATCAGAATTTTGCTGTTCTACCAAATTTACCATAATAAGAAAGGATAAGTTATACAATCCATTCTGAAACAACACATTAAATGAAGTGCAGAAGTCACCTTATAATCCTTCACCCACGGTGCAATGTCATCAGCCACCAAGTTTGGCTTCAAATACTTCTTCCCATCATTATTCTGAACGATGATGAGAGGTACTTGGCTTTCTTGAATTCCAAAATACTGTTTCCCCACCAACAGGAAAAGTAAACTATAAGAAGAATTAAAACTTAGGTAACAAATTTTGAGAAACATACTGCCATATTTGAGTAGATACTAACCTGGAAGGCACCTTGACTAGCCTCAACATCTCCCAAAAGGAAACTTATGCCCTGTCCTTTGTATTGTTCAGCAACTTCACGATATTTTGATTTTACGGCATCAACACCTTCAGCACTCAAATTTGCAAACAACATAGCCTACCAGATTCAAATGTCCTATTAGAAGATGAACTTAAAAGGATGCACAGAACAAGTGTTGACCATTATAACTATCAAACCAAAATGAAATATAAAGAAGGGAAAACTGAAAGTCAAAAACACAGTCTAAAGTGCATTATAGGTGAACCAATATGAGCGCATCTCGTAGTATAACTAGAGAACGGGAAAAAATTTTGGTATTACATGCTTGTTACCAAATAAAAGCCAGCCACACTCTGATTTCTTTTCACTGTGTATAAGAACTACATTGTAAAGAAAATGAAATTTCTTATTGTCTAATTTACCTTTGCATTGGGACTGTTATAGAATTTGATAACGAAGGGGTGATTACTTGGGTCATTGTCAAAGAGGGTCACAATAGGAATGCTAGATTCTTCAACAAACTTCTCTAGAGCTTCCAACTTAAAATCCTGCAAGTAACTAGCTTCTGTAAAAAAGGCTAATCGTAAATGGTACAAAAGCAACTAACATATACATAAATGAACTTGTATTTTCAATAATGACATGAAATATAGTTGACACTCCATATTACCTTGAGGTCAACAAAGAGTTCATCAAAAGGCTTGAAAAGTCTGACCACAGGGCCAGTCACTGATGATTCACCACGGGGAAGGTGTTTAGCATCCAAAGTATGACCAAATTCATAGTCAGAACGCAATTTCTCAGCAAGAGCTATATAGCTCTCAAACTCTTCGCCAGAGAATTTTGGGAAAATCCCAACCTAGAAACAGAACATATAGATACATTTCAGCTAAACTTCAGCATGAAAAACCAATGAAAACAAAAGAACAAAGAATCCTCAGAGCTTACAACTACTATCTTCTTGTCACCAATAAGATTACTGGCATCTTCTGCGGACTTTATTTCAGCAGAAGCAGGACCACTTTGTTTCTTCACATACTCCACAATACCATCAGCTTCACGTGGACCTTTGTATTCTTGAACATTCTTTCCTCCATTTCTCAAAATTTTAAGCGTAGGGTAACCCTTGATTTCATACTGACTTGCTAATTCTTTGTTTGCTTCGTCATTGGCATCAACTTTAGCTAGAAAGATTGGAGGATCGTGTTTACTCAATATAGATGCAGCTTTCTCATACTACACAACAAACAAAAAAAATTTATTGTTATTAGCTGACTAAACATATAAAATATCAACAAAATTCAAAACTTAGGGGAAATTATAATTTGGTTACCTCTGGAGCAAGATTCTTACAGTGCCCACACCTAGAAGTAGATGTAAAAGGAGACTACTTAGTGCCAAGAAGGTAAACAAGACTAACAAGGCATATTAAAGAAAGATTCCATACAATTTTTTCCATCAAGAAAACTAAAAAAAATGTAAATTTTAAACTAAGAAATTAAATCTAAATCTCTCAAGGATGAAGCATTTTACTGCTAAATTAAATAATCAACTTATACAAGATATATTTGTTGGTTATCAAGTATGACAGAATAATGTTGCCTTTGTTTAGATAAGACAATATTTTATAAATATAATATTTGCATTCCAGACAAGCCAAATCGATCCAGAGATGCGGCCCGATATTACAAGATTTGTTTGTTAAAAAATTGCATGTTAACATTGCATAACGTGATAACATGTTGCAGATTATATTAATAAAAAAGGGTCAAACTTCAACACCTTAACGGATCTAAAACCATGTACAATTTCAACAAAGAACAAAGGATTTCATAGTAATCTTAAATATATCATGTCACGTCAAAACAAAGAATTCCAGACTTTGTACTGTTTCGTTAGAATTTATAAGCTTTTCTCGCTGTTTCCGAAAATAAAAGGTTCCCTTTTTGGCTCTTGATAAGCAATCCATTATCCCATCATTTCCACATAAACAACAAATGCCTACGAGTTCAATTGTTTCATTATAAATTGCTAATTTCAATCAAGCAATCCTAAGATTAATTACTGATCTTAATTCTTAACTGCTCGAATTGAAAATTTTTCCAGGAAATTTGAAGTCGAATAATAAACCGTAAAATGCACTAAAAAATCCTCATAAAATTAACTATTGCTAATGTAGCATTGACTTTTAAAAATATATTAGATCAGATCCCATAAATTCTAAATCAGCTACTAAACTCATTGCATGCACTTAAACAGAAGAAAAAAAAATCCGTCGAGAAAAGGAAATTAAGATCCAAACAAAAAATTAAGCAATATTTAGGGGGGGAAAAAGTCGAAAATGCACAGGTTTACCAAGGAGCGTAAAATTCGACGACGATAAAGTCTTGCTTACTAACAGTGTCAGTAAAGTTGGAGTGATCCAAGGTCAAGACGAACTCTTTCGATTCACTCTCTTCAGCTGAGATCACTGTTAGAGAGCATACGATTGCGGCCATAGCAAGCCATATCGAAACACTTCTCGCCATTATCGTAGCTCTCTCTCTCTCTCTTTTCCTCGCTTCTGCTTTCGCTCTTTTTCCCTCTGAGCTTTATAGAAACCTTTGGGGAGGGTTTTTTCAAAAGAATGACACAGCCAAAAGTTTTAGTCAGTGAACCAGACAAACATGGTACGTAAGCTCTCGCGAGTACGCCAATGACGTGCTACTCGCTTCGCATGTGGTTGATTTCCACGTGGAGGATAGTTATTGGATGATACTCGTCATTGAAAGCTCTTTTGGAAAACGTTGGTGCAACAAAGTCATAGAAGGCAAGTGTATCCGGATTTTTAATATCTTGAGATTTTTCTAAGGGTGATGTTTATCAGTAAGAAAGTAACAAGAGTGTGAGCTCGGTAGCCAAACCAAGGGCATCTTGCCACGTCATTTTTATTTCGTTTTAATTTGTTTTTCTGCTTTTAGGTCCCGTGAATCTGGCCGTATTGGATACAAAACTTTCTCTGTTTTAATCCTGAATAAACGGCTGCGAATCTAATAGTTTAATTCCGAACACTACATCTTGAGAGTGAGTAGTATTAGTATTTTATTTTGGCACGATTCGATCTTGATCTTTCGATCATGCCCCTTCTGTGGACTGTTGATTTATGAGAAATTGAATGCTTAAAAGGATATATCTTATAAACGGTCACTAATGTTTTACTTTTTTTCTCATTAAATTTTAATTTGTTCAATTAAGTCATTAAGCTTTTTACAAATGCATCAAATGTGACCATAACAAGTGGTTTTTATTTAAAGAAATGACAAATTAATAATCACTTACACATCAAAACAATCGTATCAAATAAAAAATTTATGTTAACTCTTTCTTTTAAATACTTTTTTTCGTGATCTTATGAAAATAATGAAACAATAAAAAAGAAAAATAAGAGAATAACAACTTTCAAAAAAATTTAGAATAACATGTTTATTTAAATGGTTATTATATTATTATTTTATCATTTATTTGAATTGAATCTATGAAGGTGATCATATTGACTAGAATTTAAAACGTTTAGTGATTAAATTGAAATAAATTATAATTGATTACGCACAAAGAGCAAAAGTATAAAATTAAAAACTATTGACGAATTTACTCCTTCAAAGGGGGATTTGTGTAAGATAAGATGGAAGCTTCGGTAGTGGAGGTGTGGATTTAATCACGACTTATTGACTTCGTTGGCCACTCTAAAACCAGCAGAGGCTAGTCAAACAAGGTGTTGAGGCAGCTCGTGACAAGTAGGCCACTTCTTAGAGTCTCTCCTAATAAGGGACTTGGGAGGCAATAATCATTATTATTATTAGAATAACTATTACAGCACCTGCACGTTGAGAGTAAAATCTTTGCTAACGTGAAACTCTTAGGCGATGTTGAGATAAATTTAAATTAATATAAAAGTTTTTTTTTATAAGTAAAGAATTAATGTAATGAAAATGTCATATAATTGAATAAGATAAAATATTATAAATCTCATATTAATAAGAGATAAGATAAGTTTTGAATATATAAATATAAGTTTTTTTTTATTAGTTATATCTTTTAAATTGAAAACAGTTGATTTCTTATAACTGATATTGGTTTGGGTTGGAAAATGGGAAATTCAAGAAACAAAGCCTTAAGGCAGAGATTAGGCCGATTTATATATAATACATAGACCCACAAAAACTTTGATTTGTGGTCACCAATCCAAAACACAAAATGTCAGAAACTAGACCCACAAATTGTTTCATGTGAGTCTGACAAATTAAGATGCTGAAATGATATTGAAAATTTACTGTACCAATATACATCCAAGCATCAATGGGTTGATATGATGTGAAACATTTCTTTTGTTTTTTGGAGGGGAAAGGCATAAGCTAGCTTCCGGCAAGAGGAGGAATGGACTGACCATGGACCCCTTAGACAATTAATTACTAGTCTAGAGAGTATATAATGAATCTCAGTCTTGGGCCAAGAGGGTGCTTGGATATTTGAAAACTCAGCCTTTCACCTCCCTCGTAACATTGATGAGTTGACAAAAATCAAGTTGAATGGACAAGGACAGGACAATGTGTCCTGGAAAAGCACTCCCAAGATTTGAGATGGTAAATTTTTCACTCAAACTATGCTTGTTCGGCTGTCATAAGGCCATTACTGAATCTAGTTCAAGGGGTTGGAGATGGGTTTGGAAAAACTCCAAGCTCCAACTCATCCCCAAGACTCAATACTTCCACCTAGCTTGTGGCTTACCAAGGACTTGCTACTTCTGCCTTTCTGGAGTATACCCGTCCTACAAGAACCACCCTCTCTGGAGCTGGAGGACTAATTCGGGACCATGATGGCAGAACCATTGCTGCCTTCTTGCGCAGAATAGGCACTACCGCTAGCACTTGTGCTGAACTATGTCCAATTACTCTGGAAACTGACTCACGGGTTGCAATTTTTCTTTTGGAAGCTGCTAGTGTCCACACTCGCTAACTAGGGTGCTCTCTAGGATGAATGCAGATGGCTCATGAACCAGCCGCAGATGCAAGTGATGTATCATGCAAATGATCTCTTGATTTCTGAAGCGCAAACCAAATGGTTTTTAAAAAAACAATAAGCAGCCAAAAAGAGCTTTCCATCCATATATCTAATCAATCAAAATTTTTCCTTAAGTTACTGAACTACAATACATGTCTCCTCCCAGCTACGAACCTACTCCCATACAGTGAACTTACAACCGATACATCTAAAAATAACCAATCAACCAATAAATGAATATTTTCTGTACAAAACTGCTACCTAACTATATCCTAAGGGGTTATTTCTGACTAGGGCAATTTAAGGTTTCAAGCCAACATCTGCTGGGAAAACTTCTTTCTGGCAACTTTCAACTTCGTATCAATGATTCTACAACCCCCACCCCAGACAAGGTCTTTTCAAAGTCACTTTCTGTTATACCTAACATTCTTTATCAGCAAATCTAATCTCACATAGCAACTACTGTACATACAAAAGGTAAGCATTCTTCCTTGGGAGATACCAAGCTAGGAGGTCCCAGCATTTTCAAGTCTGACCTGCTCATGCGCTTTCAAGACCTCTGAGGTGAAGTTGCCCAAGGCTTCAAAGATTGGGACCAAACCTGCTTGTAGACTGCTCGAAGCAGCATCGTGAACTAGTTTGATGGCATCCTTATGCCTAGCTCTTTCTTCCTCCAATTTCTTCCTCATCGAATCCAAATCCACCTTTAAATCATCCAGTGGTGAAACTCCACTTTCAGAGGGAACCTTGGAAACAGCAGCTTTATCTGATAAAGCATCTTGCACCTGCTCTATCCTCTGCCTGTCTAACCGTAACTCCCTAAGCCGTTTCTCAAAATCCTTTGAGAGATATTGAGTTCTGGTCCTCTGACGTTGCTCCTCATCTTGTCTTTCCCATAACTGGTGTAGGCTGGAAGCAAAATCATGCATGGCATTCGCTACACCCTTTTCTGAAACTCTATCCATTGCTTGGTACCAATCATTGCAAATTACAAAAATTGGTGGCGCTCCAACCCGGCCTGGGGAGAAAGGAGCAAGTCCATCAGCAGTTATTTCCTGCTCCCGTTCAATGCATCTCATAAGCCACTCATATAACGACCCAACATATGCCTTTTGGGTGTTAATCCAATTATTGAAGCGAGTGCACCAGTCCAAAAGCTCCATCTCAAGCTCAGCAGTAGCTTTCAATCCTGAGTCTCTTTGAAAAGCAGTATTTGCTCTGAGAGATCGAACTTTGCTCTCCATTATGGCTTGAAACTGTTTCTGATGGCATCTAAGCATGGACTTCCACATTCTTATCAACCTGCAAATTAAAATGGCCACATATTATCACATAACAACCTCAAGAAGTAAAATGAAAGCAGCAAGAAGAAATAAGTTGTCATTCCCACAGAGAGACATAAATGTTTTCCTCCAATATCCAAAAGGAGAAGGGTAGAAAACAACATGAAAAGATAAAGACATGCTCTTGACTATCACAAGCTTCAAATATACCATCATATCATGCTAGCAGATCGTTTGATGCTTTTCAAATAGGTAATCAATAATGTATAATGAGCACTCCAAACATCACCAAACAGATAAAAGAGATATTAAAGTTTGCATCAGATAATAATGAACAACTCCACAAGTTTTTCACAACATGCAAATAAGACATTCCAGATATCTTTTTGATGCTACGAGATAATTTTGTTAGGATGGTAAACAAGGAAAAGAGAAAATTAAAATCATTTCCCCCAGCAAGTTAAAAGATGAATTAATGAAGGAGCCATTAGTTATCACAAGCTTACAGACATACCAGCAACACATGCAAGTATCATTATGCAAAGGAGGCATGGTTCACCATTGATACATGATATAATTGTATTCATCTAAAAGTAAAAGTTATAAGTGTTGTGCATGAGTAAAACACTAAGTCAAATAGCCCAATTAAACCAGTCTTTCATCCCCAACCAAGATAGAAGCCATTGTGATGCATGGATTCCATGGAAACCACTGCCAAGAAAGCAACAAGATGATCCAGAGTCACAGGCCAATCATGTAATAGTTAATCAGGAGGCACTATGATTTATGAAGATAAGGAATTAGTAGGCACACCAATGATCAATTCTAACTAGGAAAAGTATAGAAGTAAGTCAATACCCATGAACCAATTCAGTGAGCTGGGGCTGCAATTCTTCATCCCTTAGCTTATGTATCCTAATTGATATAGCTTCAACAGCCTTTATACAAACATTAATTTTTGTTAGCAACTTTCTTATTGAAGCCTGTGTTGCATCAATCTTGCGGGCCTCTGCTCCTTGGCCATCTAACATTCTTAGTCTCTTACACTTCTTCTCATACATAGCCCGTAGCCTTTCTTCATCCTAAAATCAGGGAAAACACAGACATATTATAAGCATGCTACTAGGGCAACCAGAATATTTTGAAAACATTTGTTAATAACAATTAGCTTATACATCCAGGGCACATTTATATTCAAAATTCAAAATCTTATTACTTGATTGGCCTGGGATGAGTGTTGAACTAACGTGCAAGAAATAGTGCATGGCTAGAGTCATGACAAGGGATTTAACCACAGTCAGCCATAAAAATGCTGATTCCCAGTTATCAAAATGCAAACCAGTAAAGTCAAACCGTCTAACTACCAGGAAGTTTTCTTCCATTTTGGAACAAACTACTTCAAAACTATGTCATAAAGAGGTACCCATAGTTAAAGTTCATGCATAATAACAGCAAAAATTAATGCTTCAGATTATATAGGATCACTCAATGACTACTAACACATTTTTAAGTTTTAAAATCCAGCAATTATTGATAGCTTTTTGTTTAATAATAGCAAGAGCCTTGAAAACCAATCCAATAAGCATCACATTTTGACAACACCAGAGAACGAACAACTAAAACTTCTATAGCTTTTGTGAATAGTAACTATTATGCAATACAACTCTTTCAGTCTATTAATAAAAATTGCTTGGGAAATAGATATCAAGGCTAAAACAACCATCACATTGCTAAGTACAGAAACAAAGTTACTTTTCATTTTTATAACACGCATACCTTGACTTCTTTATATAATTTCTTTTCCCATGCATAAAGTTCCTCCAAAGTTGAGGAAAGATTTCTAGGCTTTTCATCCTGCTCTGCTATCTGACAGTATTCTTTTGCCATTTTCATTGTCCTAGAAGTTATTCTTATAGATGATCTGGGGGGTGGATGTGATGATAACATGTTAGGTGCCACGAGATACAGGATCCTGGAGAAGATCACTGCAGAAAAGAGATGTAAGCTTCACTAAAGCAGCATGGTAAATGATTTTGAAAAGGATACAACTTTATATCCACCAAGCCAGATAATTCAATCATATATATAGACAAAGATTGAACAGTTAAATCATGAAAGAATAGAAGTGGGTAAGCTTACATGGGACCTAAGTATTCAGTTTCATGTAAAGCTCACTGTTTCAACTTTTATTGGGATGTTTAATCATGTCATTAGCTACAGCACTATTTGTATCAAAATCATTTTCATTTTAGCTTTTTGGGAATACATCGATATAGCCCTGTTTCAATTTTAGAATTATTATATGAGACTCATTAGAGACCTGAATTTCGTGGATAGCCTGAGCAATATTTACCAGAAAGCAAGCCAAGAAAAGGCTTGTATGTCTAACTAGTGCAAACATACAAAATATGAGTTCACCCCACGCACATACAGTAAAATCCTTAAACCTCTCTCTCCAAAAGTCTAAGCTAGCACATTGAACAGGATAACTTTACAAGAATCCAACAACAGAGACAAAAATTGAGAACAGGACAAAAGAATCCAAGACAAGAACCAAATAGTAAAAAACAAAAATAACTGGAAACCCACCTCTAAACCCAGTTCCTTTACGCTGCTGATAAGGCAACTTGCCCACCTCAAGTAATACAGCAACCTCTTTCCCATAACCAGAGGCAGTCTCGAACTCATCCCTAATCTCCTTCACAACCTCCTGGAGATCCCTCGTACCGTGAACCGACAATGTAGTTAAACTACTTGGCTTGGAAGACTCAACATCCAAATTAGATGCCTCTTCCACCTCAAAACTCACCCTTTTACTCTTTGCATACTCTTCCTCGGAACTCTTTGTAACAATTGTTTCAGCACTTCCACTACTTGTATTAATCTTAATATGACCACCAGACTCCAAGCTCTCACTCTTGCTTGATGGCATTGCCTTTGAAGTTGAAGTTGAAGTTGATCCATCAGTAGTACTATTAATCTTCTGAACTGGGACTGACTTTGAAGTACCTTCACCAAAATTCCTATTTTTATTACTATTATTATAATTATGATTAATTTCCTCATTCATTATTTTCCTCTTCTCTTTATGAGCCACTCTTAACATCTCAGGCTCAGTTTCATCTTCCAAATCAGGAATCCCTTCTCTCTCCCTCACCTCCTTCGAGTCCGGACTACTTGTAGTCGACCCATACCCGTATCTAGCCACCGGATAATAACCTGGGTACACACTATTATCAAAAGTATCGAACACATTGAGAAAATCCCATGTGGAAACACTCGGCGGAGACGGCGGCTCTGGCGGTGGTTGTGGTGGACCAGGCGGAGAGCTCCTCTGCCCGTATCTATATTCCCCTCTAGGAGACCCCAAAGGATACCCAAAAAATCCCCCATTTTGATAACTTGAGTAGCCATAACTTGAATGTCCTTCAGGCTCCTGATAAACAAAAGATTGAGAGGATGTTGCAGATTTCTTCATGTAAAACGTATACGAAGAAGAATTACCATTATACCCCCAGTTTTCTTGAGGAGGAGGATGAGGGTATTCAAAGCCATAGCCATGGCCATAGCCATAGCCATAGCCATAGTTGTAGCCATACGGCGCTGGTCCTTCTTGTTCAGGGCTACGGTTATGGCTATGACTATGATCGATCTGAACATGACCCGAAGGTGAACCGGGACCTGACCCAGACCGTGAACCGGAAATTGAAGGTGACCCAGAAGACAAATTCAAGTGAGAATCCTCTCCATCACTTTCTTCTGTGTCTTTTTTCGTATTTTTGCTGTTTTCTTCAATGGAATGAGAATGGGAAAGCGAAGTTGAAGAAGAGGAAGGTAAGTTGTTGTTGTCTTTCTTCTTGTTCTTTTTTGAGGATTTGAATTCGTCAGAAGGCAATGTGAGAACAGGGGAATCCACGGAAGACGAAGATCCGACGACGAGTTCTTCATCGACGAATCTACGGATCGCTTCACCGACGTCACGGAGAGAATGGAAGTAGGTAACGTGAGCAGCGGCGAGAGCGGAGCGGTGAATCGACGCCGCTTTGATTAGTTCTTTACGTTCTTTACAAAGGGTTACTAAAGGTAAGTCGTCGACTTTGGAAGGTCCGCAGCCCATAATAGTATTAGAGACAAAAAGTGCAGCAAAAACTGAAGAAGACGAAGAAGAAAAAAACCCAAGATGGAAACTTGATCCAGTAGTTCCACTCATGGTGCCTGCCCATTATACAATCCCAAAAACGCAACCATCTTTCTGTCAGCCAAAAAAATAAAAAGGATCCAAGAAAAAGAGAGAACTCTGATAGGAAAAAAAATAAACAAAACTACTACAAGGACAAGGAGAAAGTAAAGCACTTGACTTTCATTTGATACATGCAACAGAGTGAGGGAGGGAGAAATCTAACCGTTGAGATTAGAGAGAGCAAGAAATGACCGTCCATGCAGAGAGAGAGGGGGACGGAAGAGAATAGTTTGAGATCGATGAAACTGAGATATGGGTTTTTTGTATTTTAGTTATTGAATTCAGAGTGTATGAAAAAAAATTGTTTAAAAATATGATTTTATAGAGATGCGTGAAGAGTGTGGGGATGTGAAAAATTGAATGACTGGTTCAGAGGGGGGGCTCTGCTTTTGTTTTTGTTTGGTTTTGTGCAGAGAGAGTTGAGGGGGGAAAAAGAAGAAGAAGGCTCGTGGAACCCGCCATAGGTGACGGACCTTGTCATAATTACCCCATTACCATTTTCTTTCTTTCTTTCTTTTTCAGATTTTATCTCCTTTGGTTAGCAGTAAATATTAATTGACTGTAGTAAGTTTGGCTGTCAAATTCTTGGCCCACGTGCCCTGCCTGCCCTACAGATAGTTGGTTTGTTCTATTGTTTGCATATGACAATGAGTACGCCCTCTCTTAATACTTACATTCCCATGTTTAGTGTCATCAGTATTTAAATATTTAATTTAATAATAAGATAATATATTTTTTTGTTTAAAAATTTTGATTCCAAACTCTTTCTCGTATACAAATTTTTTACCTAGTTTAAAAGTGTTCAACTCAACACCTTTTGAAATTATTTCCTTCTTTTTAGGTACATGGCAAAATAAAAAATGGGTAAATGAAACTTTTTAAATTCAATGCGTACTAAAATCTAATAAGCTATAGTTAATTTGATAAAAAAAAATTAAGGTTTGAATTATTTTTCCTAACATTAGATGGATTAGACATAATGATGGTAGCAAATAGGGTCTTTGTTTATTTTGAATTATATGAAATCGAAACACCAGTTATAAATAAGGTATCCATAACTTAACCAAAATTATTAAAGATTCTATCATAATTATTCATAACCTAACTGAAACCATTTAAATAATATTCATTAATTATCTATAACCCTTTGTTTAGTGGATATTCATGTAAAAAGCTCGAATTTGACTTTTGATTTGATTCGAAAATTCAATTTGGTAAAAGAAATTATAATATTATAAATGTATTTTAAAAAAAAAGTAAGCAAACTTATATATATTATTTTATTTAAATTACAACAAAATTAAAACTTGAATTTGTTTGGTTAAGGTGTGAAAACAATGCAATGAACCATAAAATTTTGAATCATTTCATCTGTAATAAACTTTTTTTTAAAGTAATTGAGTTTGAAATTGACATTCATTTCCAAACCAATTATCTATAAATAGCTTCGAGCAATGAGTATCTGAAAACCTAAAATTAAACTTTATAATAACATATCGGTATCTATTTTGAGTAAATAGCACCAATGAAAAATTATCCATACTCAAATCAAAACCAAAACCATTTTATTATTGATTCGAAACCAACTAATTATCAAGAGAATCAATCCTTCTGTTTGTAAATATCTTGCTCTAGTAACTCTATAGTATATTATATAAATTTTATTTATATATATTGTTGGTGCTAGCATATATATATATATATATATATATGTATGTGTGTGTGTATATATAGACTCAAAGTTATAGGTTATGGTTTGGTGTAAGACCTAAACATTGAATCCGTCATAAATAAGATTCGAATAAACAAGAAAAAAATCACATAATGTACAGTGAAAAAGGAAGAAAAGAATGAATAAAAAGAGATGGGAATGTATGGTAGAGATACATTGATGAAATTGAGGTGATTGTAGTCATTTATGATACCTCTTTAGACAAATGACGCTATTGATTTGAGAGTAAATGATTGTAGGTTTTTCTTTATGACATGCATTTAATGTGATGCATATATGGGGTGTTTCCTTCTACCATACATTTAATGCAATTGATATTGTTGCTTGCATATTTTTTTTTTAAATTTTCTAGACGTATTGAATAATAATTTCCACCACTTATAAACATTGTAGCATTTCAGATGAATTTGATGGGTGCAACTTCTAGTCAATGAAACAAAAAATATATATAATATTTAAAAAGTATTTCTAAATTGTTTTATAAAATTTAAATAAATTTTTTATTACATTTTATCAAATTTTCATATATATTTTTATTTTAAATTAAATAAATTTTTATAATTAATAATTAATTAAATGTTATTAATTTAAATCCTACTTATTATTTTAAACCGTGTGATATTGTTGCGACATATTAATATTTCGTAGAGGATAATGGTATGATATATTAATGTGTCATGATCACAATAAATTTTTATTTTTAATATCAAGGTCACATCAATACCAAATGATATAAAAAATTACAAGTGGTATTTTGATTAATGATAAATAATTAATTATTAGTAATAAAAATTTATATGATTTAAAATAAAAATATAAAAATTTAATTGAATATAATAAAAAAATAAATTTTTAATAACTTTTTTTAATAAAAATATTAAAGAAGGCACCAACATCAATCATTAACAAGCTTTTTAATTTCTTTTCCATTATTGTCTTCTATTCTTTTTACAATAAAGAAAAAGGAAAAAGGAAGCATAGTTAAAATTGTTTAAGCTCTCATAAAATCTTTAGAAAAGAAACTGATTTTTTAATTCAAAGTTGTTAAGTCTATCCACTTCAACCCATCTCATCTTAACCTAATGCTACCAAAAGTAGTTAAATTATTCTTTCTTTACCCCTTCTTTTTCATCTTTTTCTTTCCACACTAAATTCGCAATAATAATAATAATAATAATAATAATAATAAACTATTAGCTATAGAGCAAGTTTTGCTATTTTGGGTATGGTTAGAATGGTGTGTGTCTTGCAGAATTTGGTAGGCAGAATGTTGAAAAGAGAGTAGTTGGCAAAAGCCAGTAAAAAAGATGGTGCAAAGAAGAAAATAAAATAGCAAAGAGTCAGACACAAGTTTAGTATCCTTACAAATTACAAAACATCAGCCTTTCTAATATGAGTTCTTTGGTAATTTGGCATAAAAAGAAAAAATGAGTATGATTTTGGGCAATCATGGCTCTATTAAACTACAATATCACAATTGCATGTGCAAAGTAGGTAAACATCAAAAGCAAAAGTCTTAAATACTCAAAGCCACATCAATTATTCAAATCCCAATTTTATATTTTAAATATTCTGTTACTCTTGTATTAGGGTCACCCCTCAAGGGTTATTGCAAGCTTACAGCTAATTTTTTAATATTATTAGCTTAATTTTTTTTTTTTGATAGAGTATTGTAATTGTTCCATAAATAGATGTTGTTTAAATAAATATTATTTCACTCTTTTTGTCTCATTTTGTGTTTATCTTTTATTAACTTTTTAAATCAACATAATTCAATTTTGATTATTATTTTTTAAAAATATTATATAAAATAAAAATCTCAAAAAACATGTTTTGAAAAGTTTGAAATTCAAAATTTTAGAAGACTTTATGTTTAAAAATTTTTATAACTATAATTTTTATTAAAAAATAATGGTTAAAGCTGCGTTCCCCAGCAATTTTTTAACCCCAAAAGGAAAAGATAAAAGTGGAAATGAGTACTAGTTGTTTGGTTGAAAGGGATGTGAATAATAAAAAAGTAGTTGATGTTAAGCAGGGCTTCTTGAATCTTCCACCCTATTGACACTAAATATAAAAAACACAATTTGTTTTTCAATTTGTGAAAAAGATATTACGTGATATTTGATATATTATAATGTAATATAAAGTAATATAATTATAATAAAAATTAAATTAAATATGTAAATAAAATAATTATTAAAATATAAAAAATAATATTATAAAATATTTTTAATAAAGTAAAAAAATAAATATATCTTTAACAATATTATAAAGTGTAATATAATTTGATTGTATTGATTTTGTATTATAATTTTATATTATAGTGATTTGTTATAAAATAAATAATATAATAAAATTTAATTAAATATATTATAAAAAATATATTTTTATTATTTTATATCTAACGTTACTTGGGTACTTTATATATATATATATATATATATATATTATTTTCTATTCAAATCCTTTGTTTGTTTTTGGAATTTTTCTTTGTAATAAATAGTTGGGCTGCTTCTGGCCAACTGCTTGGGCTTAGGGGTCCACCTTTGCCAACCTTACAGCCAGCCAATAGAAGACTACAACTCAAGGGCTACGCTTTTCCTTTTCCTAGCTTTTTGGAGCCTCAAATTCTATTAGAATTCTCATATTATTTTCCCACTCTTTTTCCTTTTTTATAATTTTTTTCTATTTTCATTTTTAAAGATTTTTTACTTTTTCTTTTTATTCAATTTTATAAAAACAAAAAATAAAAGTAGCAACCGAGTAAAACTTTATTTTTATTTTTTTATTCTCTAAGTTTTATTTTACTCTGGTTAATGCTTTGAAAGAAAATTTTAATCTAAACCCATGAGGCAATACTAGGAAGGAACCTGAAAAATTCCTATTTAAAGGCATAGAACAACTTTTTTCATAAAGATGTTAATTTAATTTATTTTTTTAATGTCCAAATTTCCCTAATCGTTCACGTATTTTCTTTTATACTATTTTTATTCTTAATAGTCAAAGGTATGATTATTTTATTTATTTGTAGCACACTTTTAATTATTTCATAAATTTTGATGGACGGCATTGTAACGTTCAAGATTTGATAGTTTAAATGTGCGAACGAACAATTTCTTTGCTTATATATTTATATATATACTTTTTAATTACATATGCAAAGTAGGGGAACTTGTGCCTTCCACGTACTAAGACATACTTTATAAATTCCATTATAAAAAGTCATCGGCTTTCGTCATACCAATCGTATATAATAATGTATGTAGATGGTGGCATTACCAATCTAATACAAGATATTGGAATATGTAAAATAATTAGCTTAAATTAGTGCTACCCTTTCATATTTATAACAATACAAATTTTACTCAAAAAATGTTAAAAATAATCCATGATTTGATCATTAGACTATTCGTATCATTTGTGAATAAACAAAATATATATAACAGTAACTTTTTATTTTTCATTATACAATAATGATATATCAAAATACACACATATAAAAATAATAATAAAAAATTTTAAGCATAATACTTAAAAATTTTTTTGAATTATTTAAATAAATTTTTACATTAATATTTAATTAATTATAATTTATAAAAATATCACTTGTTATTTTCTATATCACGTTATACTTGACGTAATATATTAATATATCATAATAAATGATAACGTGATATATTAATGTTATATGATGATACAATTACATAATATTTTTAACTTCTATGTTAATGCTATATATATAAATATAAAATAATAAATA